ACCTTCTTTATAATGTTTAGAAGAATTATATTTTGAGGATATATTAAAAGAACGTCATTTACATATGAACTTTAAAAAAAAAAAACCTACGGAAGGCAGGAGTGCCACTAGTATGCAAGGCACTACAGCGAGTGTAAGCAAAGGAAAAGATTGGGTATTGGTGGGGGGAAGGTGAGAAAAGGATAAAAAGAAGAACGGGGGTCAAGGCAACAAAAGATGTCGATTGACATTGCATTTAAATTTTTGAAGATTATAGTTATCAGATAAAGCAAGTGAGAGGAAAAGAGTTCCACCGTCGAGAAGTGCGAGAGAAGAAGCAATTGTTTTGCTCTTTTCACTGCCTGAAGGAACCTTTGTTGTGTTTGTAAAATTCATCTGCTTCTATATATGGAGATTGATCACAGGATGTTGGGCGGTCTCTCATTGGTCAATAAAACCACGTGGGTTTAGAAAAAACTGATGACTAAGAGAAGGAACTGGACCTCTTCCGAAGCAACACGCAAGAAATTCTCTCAGCCTCAAACACCAGTTGTCAAGGGTTTAAAGGTATAATTTATCTAGCCTTATTTTCACTAGATGGGTAAGTCCGATTGACATATTCTCTGTATATAGGAAAATACATTGTGTTTTTGTTAAACGTTGTATTCATGTTTAGGTGTAAATAAATATCTTTATTACATGTTGATAAAGTATTCTTATTCTTATTCGTTTTCATATTCTTATCCTTAATCGTATCCTTATTCGGATTCTTATTCGTATTCTTATTAATATTCTTATTCTTATTCGTATTCTTATTCGTATTTTTATTCGTTTTGTTATTCTTATCCTTATTCGCATTCTTATTCGTATTCTTATTCTTATTCTTATACTTATTCGCATTCTTATTTGTAGTCTTATTAGTATTCTTATTCTAATCCTTATTGTTATCCTTATTTGTATTCTTATTCTTATCCATATTCATATTGTTATTCTTATTCATGTTCTTATTCGTATACTTATTTTTATTCTTATTCGTATTCTTCTTATTCGTGTCAGTCCCAAAGTAAAGTGGGACTAGCACAATACCTTTATTGGTGGAAACCGCAGTAGCAGAAAAGTTTGGTGTTTATAATATATATATATATATATATATATATATATATATATATATATATATATATGGGGGGATTGGATTAGAATATACAAGGCTTGATAAACCAATGGGATCCTTGCTCCTGTATATAAATATGTGCAACAAAATAAATCATTACATTTGCCTTCATAAATTCTCACAGATGACGAAACGCGTCAACTAAGAATAGTTCTTTCGCTTGTCTTTATATATATATATATATATATATGTGTGTGTGTGTGTGTGTGTGTGTGTGTGTGTGAATTAGAATTTCAATCACTAAATCTGTTAAAACGTGATCTGGGAAGGGGGTACTATTTAATTAAAAATAAAATTTAAAGCGGAAATGGTAGAGATGAGAAGAACTGATCATCCCGTCTGAACAAAACAGAGTGGATCGAGATTTCAAAATAAAAAATAAAGGCAAAATTTGGAAAAACGGCAAACAAAAGCATTATAAACTTTAGATCTCTTCCTTAATCGACATAACTTTCCCATTCCAAGATCAAAAGAAATTCCGCCAACTTTCTTAAATTTATTTATTTATTTTTTAAATTTCAAAACTGTTTTGCCAGCCGAAGACTGATTGAAGCTTAGTTTAAGCGGTGCCAGACAATAAATGTTCGTGTAAGTAGCTAGAAAATGGCCGCCTGGACACGGAATGAAATAAACACTTTTTTAGCCGTTAAATAAGATGTGTTTGTATGCTTGCATTTTATCATTTCATTACAAAGATTTTTTTCTTCAAAGAAAATCCTGTTTTGTTGTCTAAATTACTGTCTTACACTTGAGATACTTCATCAAAGACGTCTTCTGCGGAACAAAAAAGGATGAAATCTGACTTTGTGGGGTTTTCCTAAATTTAGAAAACAAGTGGCCAAAGGAAAACGAAAACATTTTACCAGAAAAAGAGCGACAAGAATTTTTTGGTTTGAATAATTATTGGACATAGGAAAAGAGTTTAAGGTTTAATTTCCTCTTTCTTTCTTTCTTTCTTTCTTTCTTTCTTTCTTTCTTTCTTTCTCCTTACTCTGTTTTTTTCTTCTGTGTCTTTTATTCTTTTTCCTTCTTTCTTTCTTTTTTTCTTGTTATTCTGTTTTCAATCTCTGTCTTTTAATCTTTATTCTTTCTTACTTTCTTGCTCTTTTTTGCGTTTTTTCTTTCTTTTCTTTTTTTTTCTTTTTCTTTCTCTTTCTTTCTTTCTTTCTTTTTTTTCTTTCTTTTTATTCTTTTCTTTCTTTCTTTCGTTTTTTCTTTTCTTTTTCAATCTTTCTTTTAATCTTTTTTTTTCTTTTTTTCTTTTTTTTTCTTTTTTTTTTCTTTTAATCATTTTTTCTTTCTTTCTTTCTTTCTTTCTTTCTTTCTTTCTTTCTTTCTTTCTTTCTTTCTCCTCCTACTCTTACGTTTTTTTTCTTCTTTTGTTTTATTCTTTTTTCTCTCTCTTTTTTTTCTTTTTAATCTTTTTTCTTAATCTTTTTTCTTTCTTACTTTTTTGCTCTTTTTTACTTTTTTCCTTACTTTAACCCTTTTCATTCTCTTTCTTTCTTTTATTTCCTTTCTTTCTTTTTTTTTTCTTTCATTGCCCCTTCTTCCTCTCCTTTTTCACTCGTTCGTTCTTTTTACTCGTTTTTCTTTCTTTTTCTTTCTTTCTTTTTTTTTTTCTTTTTTCTTTCCCCGTTTATTCTTTTTTCTTTCTTTCTTTTTTTTCTTTCTTTCTTTCTTTCTTTCTTTTTTCTTCGTTTATTCTTTCTTTCTTTCTTTTTTTTTTCTTTCTTTCTTTTCTTTCCTTTTCACTTTCTATCTTTTTTCTTTCGTTCTTTCTTTCTTTCTTTTTTCTTTCTTTGTTTTGTAGTTTTCTTTCTTTTTTTTTAATCTTTATTTTTTTTTCATTCTGTTTTTATCCTCTCTTTCTTACTTTAACCCTCATTCTTTCTTTCTTTCCCTTTCTTTCTTTCTTTTTTTCTTTCTTGCCTTCTTCCCTCTCCTTTTCACTATCGATCTTTTTACTCGTTCTTTTTTTCTTTCTTTCTTTCTTTCTTTTTTTTAATCTTTATTTTCCCCGTTCTGTTTTTACTCTTTTCTTTCTTTCTTTCTTTCTTTCTTTCTTTCTTTCTTTCCTTTTCACTCTTTCTTTCTTTTTTCTTGCCCTTTCTTCTTCTCCTTTTTCACTTTCGATCTTTTTTTCGTTCTTTTTTTCTTTCTTTTTTTTCTTTCTTTCTTTCTTTCTTTCTTTCCCCTTCTTACTCTCCTTTTCACTATCGATCTTTTACTCGTTCTTTCTTTCTTTCTTTCTTTCTTTCTTTCTTTCTTTCTTTCCTTTTTTTCACTATCTGTTTTTTTTTTTCTTTCTTTCTTTCTTTTTAATCTTTATTTTCCCCGCTCTGTTTTACTCTCTTTCTTTCTTTCTTTCTTTCTTTCTTTCTTTCTTTCTTTCTTGCCCTTCTTCCTCTCCTTTTCACTATCGATCTTTTACTCGTTCTTTCTTTCTTTCTTTCTTTCTTTCTTTCTTTCTTTCTTTCTTTCTTTCTTTTTTTAATCTTTTTTTTTTCCCTGTTTTTTCTTTCTTTTTTTCTTTCTTTTCTTGCCTTCTTTCTTTCTTTCTTTTTACTTTCTTTCTTTTCTTTCTTTCTTTCTTTTTCTTTCCCTTCTTCCTCTCCTTTTCACTATCGATCTTTTACTCGTTCTTTCTTTCTTTCTTTCTTTCTTTCTTTCTTTCTTTCTTTCCCCTTCTTACTCTCCTTTTCACTATCGGTCTTTTACAATTTCTTTCTTTCTTTTTAATCTCTATTTTTCCCCGCTCTGTCTTACTCTCTTTTTACTTTCTTTCTTTCTTTCTTTCTTTCTTTCTTTCTTTCTTTCTTTCTTTTCATTAATCTTAGAAAAAGTGTTGCTTTAATACTTTTTCCCAACAGAGAAATATCTTTCTTAATGTTTTTTGTCAAAATTTCAAAACTTTTTCCAAGCCGGAAATTGAGTGTAGCATAATTTAAGCCTCGTAAGACATTAAATGTCTGTCTGAGCAACGAGAAAAAAGCTGACCAGAACCCGAACGAATTAAGCCGTTAATTAATTCAGATTAAGATATATGAAGCAGGTGAAGTTCCTCAGTCGCCGTGAAGGCAGTCTGTCTAGTTGAAGATAAATCCGCGATATAAAAGCCACATCGTGAGAATATCAATGCCAGGTTGTTATCTTGCAAAGCCACGTTCCGCTGGCGCCAAACTTTTTTAAAAATCTCCTAATGTATGTATCTTTCCAAACCTGGTGTCAGGGTACGACTCTCTTTTCAAGTTTAGTTGCACCGAATAATAAGCTGATGAAACCAAAAGATTTCCAGACCAGTGGGAGCCACTTCTTGACATTCGCCATGCGACCAGGAGAGCTGATCAGCAATTTCTGAAAAGACTCGTTCTGGTGTGTTAAATGCGACTTGAGGTCCACTCAGTAAATATGACAGCAAGTTCCATAAACAGTTCGACGAAGTTTTAGTGAAAATGGAAACAAAAAGGAAACTTATACTTAACATTAGGAAGAGACATATGAAATTTCTACAGAAGGATGCTGAGGATACCATGGACCGAATATGTGAGCAACGACGACGTTTTAGAGAAAATGGAAACAAAAAGGAAACTTATACTAAACATCAGGAAGAGACAGTTGAAATTTCTACAGAAGGATGCTGAGGATACCATGGACCGAATATGTGAGCAATGACGAAGTTTTAGAGAAAATGGAACCAAAAAGGAAACTTATACTTAACATCAGGAAGAGACAGTTGAAATTTCTACAGAAGGATGCTGAGGATACCATGGACCGAACATGTGATGACGAGGTTTTGGTTAAATGGAAAAAAAGGAGAGCAGACATCAACTTCTGACAACGATATTAGATGACTCATTCCATCCAGACTCGGACTAGTGAGTTAAATGCGTGGTCCACTCAGTAAATATGACATAAATCACGGATGCTTGGTATAGACTTAGGCTTAGATAGCAAGTTCCATAAACAGTTCGCTCATGTATTGATTTTGATCTAAACTGGGTCGCTCATATTTGTGCCAATGTACTTGACACGACGAGTTTAATAAATATCAGTTATTAGAAAAAAAAAAAAAACTTCGATAGAAACAAAGAAAAGGGCACGAACCGAATATTTGAGCATAGATGTTATTTTAAAGAAAGTGGAAACAAAAAGGAAACTAATACTCAATATCCACCCTTGGTATGACGATAAACTACATCGGGCAGCAAGGCCTCTGATCGGGAGGTTTTGAGAAGTGTTGTTCCTTAGTCCACCCTTACCCGGGGGGGGGGGTAAAACTTGTTAACGTCCCAGCTATGGGCAAATAGCAAACCCCAAAATTGGGGTCAAAATTCTATGAAAGTATAAAAATAGATTTTTATAGTAAAAATACCAGTAATACATTTAAAAAAAAAAAATAATACCAGCAACACATTTTTGTGAAAGAAAATATTACTAACAATACATTATGGAAAAGTATTACCAGCAATACATTTTTGAAAAAAAAAATATTACAAGAAATAAATTTTTGAAAAAATACATTTTTGAAAATTATCTTATGAGCAATACATTTGACTCTTGAGAAAATCCCCTTTACAAAACTGCATCAATGAAGCCTAATTTACAAACTGATACATATTCTACTCATACGAATCTACCCTAAAAATTTTGTCGGCATTAAATAACCCATTGAGGTTGACATGCCGTAAAAGCAAAATAAAAAAATCCAAAAATACGTCACTGAAACCCAATCTACAAACTGATTTCTTACAACGAATACATATTCTATTCATACGAATCTACCCTAAAAATTTTGTCAGCATTAAATAACCCATTGAGGTGTTCATATGCCGTAAAAACAAAATAAACCCATCCAAAAATATGTCAATGAAACCTGATCTACAGACTGATTTCTTACAAAGAATACATATTCTATTTGTATGAACCTATCCTAAAAATTGTGTCAGCATTAAATGACTCATTGAGGTGTTGATATGCCGCAAGAACAAAATAAACTCATCCAAAAATACATCAATGGAACCTGATTTACAAACTGATTTCTTACAATGAATACATATTCTTCATATGAACCTATCCTAAAGAGTATAAATTTCTTCAATAAAATCGCCATTGGCTTCCAGACCACTATGACATCTCCTGCAACTCTTCTGAACTGTCTCCTTGTTTAAATTGGTGAAAGCTGCCATAATCCTTGCCTTCAGTTCATTTTTGGTTTTTTATGAGTTTTGTTGGTCTCTCACATAATAATCAAAGGGGTTGTAGTGTGCGGAGTTAGGGGGACAAATGTAAGGAGTTATGTGTTTGCAGAGATTGTCTCACAGCTATGACGGGGGTTCTTCTGCTTATGTGGCATGACGCAGAGTTCTGTAAGGTCTTCCAGCAGCCACCCTCTTGACACAGGACAGCACTACTCTTTAGTATTTCAAGATCATTTTGGTAAATATATCTGCTAAAATGTCAGTGGTATCTTCAATTTTGCAGAATTTAGACGACAGTTTATCCATCGCACCCTGTATTTGAGGTGTTGGATAAAACTACTTCTAGTGAAGGTTATTCTAAATCCAATTTCTTTATCTTCTATAGTAAATTTGTTATAACGGGCATATGGAGAGAGTTATTTGAAATATTTTGTATTTTGTTAGTTCCACATTCTGAATGTTTACCATAAATACAGACTAAAATGCCATTACTGGTTTCATTCTGATTCCAGATCATAGTTTCTGTTTTGAAATGGTTAATCTTCAGGTCTTAGTCTTGGGATCATTCTTAAGGAATGTTGGTTTTTGGTTCAGGATCATTCTTATCCAGACTATGAATGTCTATGTCATCAGCATAGCCCCTGTCTTATCCTCCGTACACTGCTCTCTTGTGGGAAACTATGAATTAGGAGAGTGCTGATGCAAAATTTACTAAGAACTACAAAGGACAGGAAGATATGGAGAGCCATCATCGCTGACGTCCTGATGGATACGTCTCAGGAAGAACGTAAATGTAAGTTCAGTCAGGTGTAAGTTTTCGTGTCAATGTAATTTCTTCCTCTGTTAGATGTTGATAGCTTAGATGTGGCACAAGGCCGAAAGTATGGGGCATCTAGTGAGGATCGAACTCACTTTTCAGTCGTAACTGATCTAGCGAGACAAGCGTGCTAACCATTACACCACGCCGAGGTACCCTCTATTAGATGTTTATATACGTTTCTTGTTTTGTTAGGGGGTAAATGCAACTTTTTTTTTCTGTTAGGAGTAAGTATTAGCTTTTCCTTTGTTTGGTGTTCATATTTTTTTTTATGTTAGGGGCAAATGTAAGGTTTTGAGTTGTCAGGTATGAGTATAAGATTTTCTACTGTTAGGGTATTTTATTTTTGGTTCTGTTATGTGCAAATATACGTTTTTGTCCTGTTAGAAATAAATATACTATTTTTGGTCTCTCAAAAGAAAATTCTATTCATTTTGTATTTTATTCTTTTGTTAGGTGTTGTTAATTAGCTTTTCTTGGGGGTAAATACGAGGTTTTTGTTACGCTTAAATATATGATTTTTCTTCAATTAGGAGAAAATGCAAGTTTTTCTTTTGTTACGTTTTTGTATAACGTTTTGGTTTTGCTTGGATATATGTAAATATTTTGTTCTGTTCGTTGAAAAGGAAAAAAATAAGTTAGGAGTAAATATAACTATATTTATGAGATGAGGTATTATGTACACTATTTATATTTGTCGACATATCTATTACAACGTTTCGGCCGTTGTACGCTCCGATCTTCTTCAGGTGGTTGGAATGTCGAACTGAACCCTTTATTAGGGTCACTGGGGTAGACTGTTTTAGTTCCACATGTCATGTGTCCTCGAAAACGCATGGCACAATGGATAAAGTCGTTGGTTAGATCCAGTGACAGGACCCAAACAATGTGAGTTCAATACCCGGTTAAGGCAGTGGAGAAATTGGAGAGGCGAATTAACTGATAACTGACATCCATTAAAACCATGGGACTAGGACAGTCTACCCCAGTGATGAGAACAATAGTCTGAATAGTGTGAGCTTTGATTTTGTAAATGTGATTTTTTTTTGTTATAGATAAATGTAAGCTTTTTATTTCTTTTGTGGGTAAATGCAAGTTTTTTTTAGGTGTAAATGGAAGTTTTTCCTTCTCTTAAGCATAAATATTGTTTCGTTTCTGATAGTAGTAAATGTAAAAGTTTGTTCTCGGTGTAAATGGAAGTTTTCGTCTTGTTAGGGGTAAATGAAAATTGTTCTTGTTCTGTAAATATACACTATTTTTTTCTGGCAGGTGTAAATGTAAGTTTCTTTTCTTTTTTTTTTTTTTGTTCTGTGTTATTTGTAAAGTTACGGTCCGCTTATGGGTAAATATGATTTTTTTTTGTATACATAAGTTTTTTACTCTAAAAGGGCAAATATAATTTTGCATATATGTGCATTTAAAATTCACTGATGCTTAAATAAACTTCTCAAAGTACGGTTAGCTTTTGAAATACAGTGAGACACCGCCCATTTATGTTTCAGCATTCGCGGCTTCAGACATTCGCGGCTTCAGACATTCGCGGCTCCAGACATTCGCGGATTCAGACATTAGCGGCTCCAGACATTCGCGGATTCAGACATTCGCGGATTCAGACATTGGCGGCTCCAGACATTCGCGGATTTTTCTTTAGAACATATGTACGAATATTGGCGTGTTTTTCTGAAAGACATTTGTACAAATTATTCGCTGAGAACTCCCTCGATTTCTGTATCTTTTCGATAGAAGATATTTCAAATATTCTTGTATTATTTTCCTATAACTTAAAATATATAACAGCTCATTCTTAAGGTAAGTTGGCAGAATTGGACATCTTTATTGTAAAAAAAAGAAAGAAAAAGGAAACAAGCGCAAAAACATGCGTAGTGCTTGGGTTTTGTTCTTTGTTAGGGGTTGCGACTGGGGTCATAAAAGTGGTTTATGCTAAGTCTGGGGAAGGCATCATCACAGTTCTGTTTTTAGAAAATGTTTTAAACTTTATATATTTTATGTCTTGTTATATATATTTTATTCGGTATTTTCAATGGTTTTATCGATCTATGCGTAATTAAAAACGGTTATTGTACGTATGGAAGAAAATTTACGCTAAGTGTATTTTAAAAAATGTTTTTAAAAGGGTTTGAAATGTTTCTAAAGTGTTTAGGATGAAAGTTTAAGGCATATGCGATTTCAATAATCAAAATAGGTACTTATAAGCACTTTTAAGGTGGAGGGTTACAAGTATTCGCGGATTCTAACTATTCGCGGCCGGTTCTGGTTCCTCACCCCCGCGAATACGGGGGGGGGAGCTCACTGTACATCTTAGCGTATAAATTTACAATAATAGAATATCGGTTTTTAGACGTTTAAAAAGGGGAAGTGTTGCTGAAAAATACTCGGCTCGCCAAGAAGCCTGCGGTGTTCAAAATATTTTCGAAAGTTGATATGGCTGAGAACTTTTCAACTTGTTATATGCACAACTAAATATATTTTGAATAGAATATATATATGACATTTGCATCTCAAAAATCTGGGGAAAGATAGTGAAGAAGGAAAAGCGTGGCTATTTTTAATAGCTAGTCTTTTTTAAGACGTCGTAGTTACTCGTTCACGGTGAGAGATGAGTAACGGGTCAAAGTTTACATGGTATGTTTTCGATGGAAACACTGATTTATAGACAAGTGTTCGATCCTTGTTAGAATTACATTACTTTGTCAGCATCTCGTTGCCGTTATCTGTTGTTAACGATTTAATATACGAACGAGGTGAAGACTGGGTTCATCGCGTGGTTATAATCGTAAAATGATCGATGCTTGACTGGAAGACACCTATATATAAATTTCAGACTGCGTATTTGTGGGTTGCAGAAAATAGAATATTTTTAATCGAGTCCAAATTCTGCTGATCTACGCAATCTATCTTGGTTTGTTCATATATTCCTATCTAGTTCGCTCAGTTTGTTTATCTATCTATCTATCTATCTATCTATCTATCTATATCAGTATGTTCATTATCTATCTATCTATCTACCTATCATGTTCATATCTGTCTCTCTTTTCTCAGCATGTTCATCTATCTATCCTATGTATCCTATCTATCCATTATCTATATCATCTATATCTTCATTATCTATCAAATATCTATCTATTTATCCCTATCTATCTTTATCAGTATCATATCTATCTATCTATCTATCTATATCAGTATGTTCATTATCTATCTATCTATCTATCTATCTCTATCTATCTATCTATCTATCTCAGTATGTTCATATCTATCTATCTATTTATCTATCTATCTATCTCAGTATGTTCAAATCTATCTATCTATTTATCTACCTATCTATCTTTATCAGTATGTTCATCTATCTATCTATCTATCTACCTATCTATCTATATCAGTATGTTCATATCTATCTATCTATCTATCTATCTTTATCAGTATGTTCATCTATCTATCTATCTATCTATCTATATCAGTATGTACATATCTATCTATATCAGTATGTTCATCTATCTATCTATCTATCTATCTCATATCTATCTATCTATCTATCTATCTATATCAGTATGTCTATCTATTTATCTATCTATCTATCTATCTATCTATCTATCTCAGTATGTTCATATCTATCTATCTATATCAGTATGTTCATATATCTATCTATCTATCTATCTCATTATGTTCATATCTATCTATCTTATTATGTTCATATCTGTCTATCTCATTATGTTCATATCTATCTATAGCATGTTCATATCTATCTATAGCATGTTCACATCTACCTATCTTCAGAATTTTCCGTATCCTTCTGTCGATTTTCTCTATCCGTCCAGCAAAACACCCTCTATCTTTTGTCTGTCGCGGGTTTCACACTATCGACAAGTAACACAAATTCTGCATCTCAGAAAATATTTCAGGAGAAATTTGAATTGGGTAAAGAAGGTGACAACGCTTCTGGGGTAAATTATTGCCTGCTGGTCTCATTTAACCGTAATCATTCACCCCAGAATGTCTATATCACCTCTAATATACCTTCGCAAAAACTGAAAAGAATTCCCCTGAAACTTGTGTTCTTCAGAAAATTGTTTTGGGATCCAATGTTCCATTTGCTCTTTATTATGACACCTGACACTTCATTGTGACGTCATCACGCATACACACACTCAATATTAACATACCTCTGACTTACAAAATTATAGCAATTGCTCATCGAGCTATCTTTCATCACTGATCAGACTCCGATGAGCTTGAACTCTAAACGAGAGTCAGTTCTTTGAAAGCCTTTTGGTTCTCAGGTTTACTCCAAATGTCAAGTCATATGATCCATTGGGAGAGAGGGTGCGAAAAATGGTCATCTATTGTTCTATCCTTCTACCGTCTATATCTATCTATCTATCTATCTATCTATCTATCTATCTATCTATCAGTATCTTTTGTTTATATCTATCTATCTATCTATCTATCTATCTCAGTTTGTTTATATCTATCTATTTGTTCATATCTATCTATCTATCTATCTATCTATCTATCTCATTTGTTTATATCTATCTAACTTTGTTCTCTATCTATTTATCTATCTATCTATCTATCTATCTATCTATCTATCTATCTATCTATCTCAGTTTGTTTATGTTCATATCTATCTATCTATCTATCTCAGTTTGTTTATATCTATCTAATATTGTTCATATCTATCTATCTATCTATCTCATTTGTTTATATCTATCTATCTATCTATCTATTCAGTTTGTTTATATCTATCTAATATTGTTCATTTCTATCTATCTATCTATCTATCTATCTATCTCAGTTTGTTTATATCTATCTAATATTGTTCATGTATCTATCTCATTTGTTTATATCTATCTAATATTGTTCATTTTATCATATCTATCTATCTAGCATGTTCATATCTATCTATCTCATTTGTTTATATCTTCTAGTTCATTTCTATTTTCAGTTTGTTTATATCTATCTAATATTGTTCATTTCCTATCTGTCTATCTATCTATCTATCTCAGTTTGTTTATATCTATCTAACATTGTTCAAATTTATCTATCTCAGTTTGTTTAGTTTTCTATCTATCTATCTATCTCCAGTTTGTTTATATCTATCTTTTGTTCATATCTATCTAACTTTGTCATATCTATCTATCTATCTATCTCAGTTTGTTTATATCTAAAACTATCTATCTATCTATCTATCTCAGTTTGTTTATATCTATCTAATATTGATATCCCCCTATCTATCTCAGTTTGTTTATATCTGTCTAATATTGTTCATATCTATCTATCTATCTCAGTTTGTTTATATCTATCTAATATTGTTCATTTCTATCTTCTATCTATCTATCTATCTCAGTTTGTTTATATCTATCTAATATTGTTCTTAATCTCATTTGTTTATATCTATCGACAATCTAATCTATCTAAATCTATCTCAGTTTGTTTATATCTATCTAACAAAATATTTCTATCTAACATTGTTCATATTTCTATCTATTATCTCAGGTTTATATCTATCTAACAAATCTAATCTATCTATCTCAGTTTGTTTATATCTATCTAACATTGTTCATATCTATCTATCTATCTATCTATCTATCTATCTATCTATCTATCTCAGTTTGTTTATATCTATCTAACATTGTTCCTGCTATCTCTATCTCATTTAATCTATCTAACATTGTTCAATCTATTCTATCCCTATCTATTCAGTAAAGAAAGGTGACAATGCCTTTGGGGTATATCATGCCTCCCCAATATATCCTTCTTATACCTTTCAAAAACTGAAAAGAATTCCCCTGAAACTTGTGTTCTTCAGAAAATTGTTTTGGGATCCAATGTTCCATTTTGCTCTTTAGCACGCATTATGACACCTGACACTTCATTGTGACGTCACGTCACGCATACACACACTCAATATTAACATTCCTCTGACTTACAAGAATTATAGCAATTGCTCAGAAACGAGCTACTATTCTTTCAACATCACTGATCAGACTCTGAGTTTTTTTTTCAAGACACGATGAGCGGTTGAACTCTAAACGAGAGTCAGTTCTTTGAAAGCCTTTTGGTTCTCAGGTTTACTCCAAATGTCAAGTGAAACTCATATATATGATCCATTGGGAGAGAGGGTGCGAAAAATGTTCAGATCGTACCATTGTTCCAGGAACAACTTGATTCCTTCTACCGTGCATATCTATCTATCTATCTATCTATCTATCTATCTCAGTTTGTTTATATCTATCTAATATTGTTCATATCTATCTATCTATCTCAGTTTCTATCTATCTATCTCAGTTTGTTTATATCTATCTATCTCAGTTTGTTTATATCTATCTAACTTTGTTCATATCTATCTATCTATCTATCTATCTATCTATCTATCTATCTCTCAGTTTGTTTATATCTATCTAATATTGTTCATATCTATCTATCTATCTATCTATCTATCTCAGTTTGTTTATATCTATCTAATATTGTTCATATCTATCTATCTATCTCAGTTTGTTTATATCTATCTAATATTGTTCATTTCTATCTATCTATCTATCTATCTATCTATCTATCTATCTCAGTTTGTTTATATCTATCTAATATTGTTCATATCTATCTATCTCAGTTTGTTTATATCTATCTAATATTGTTCATTTCTTTCTATCTATCTCAGTTTGTTTATATCTATCTATCTATCTATCTATCTCTCCAGTTTGTTTATATCTATCTAACATTGTTCATATCTATCTATCTATCTATCTCAGTTTGTTTATATCTATCTAATATTGTTCATTTCTATCTATCTATCTATCTATCTATCTCAGTTTGTTTATATCTATCTAATATTGTTCATATCTATCTATCTCAGTTTGTTTATATCTATCTAATATTGTTCATTTCTTTCTATCTATCTATCTATCTATCTATCTCAGTTTGTTTATATCTATCTAACATTGTTCATATCTATCTATCTATCTCAGTTTGTTTATATCTATCTAACATTGTTCATATCTATCTATCTATCTATCTCAGTTTGTTTATATCTATCTAACATTGTTCATATCTATCTATCTATCTCTATCTCAGTTTGTTTATATCTATCTAACATTGTTCATATCTATCTATCTATCTATCTATCTATCTATCTATTCAGTAAAGGAGGTGACAATGCCTTTGGGGTAAATTATTGCATGCAAGCCGCATTAACCGTAATCATTCACCCCAGAATGTCTATATCACCTCTCTTATACCTTTCCAAAAACTGAAAAGAATTCCCCTGAAACTTGTGTTCTTCAGAAAATTGTTTTGGGCCCCAATGTATTATTTTGCCCTGAGCACATTTTATGACACTTGACACTTTACTGTGATGTCATGCACGCACGCAATAAATGATAAGATGAATTTAACAGATTCAAGAAATATTGCATAGCTAAAAAAACAAGCGTCTATTGTTTCAACCTCACTGATCAGACTCTGAGTTTATTCCAGACACGATGAGCGGTTGAACTCTCAACGAGAATCAGTTCTTTGGAAGTCTTTTGGTTCTCAGGTTTACTCCGGACATCATGGGAAACTCATATATACGATCCATTCGGGGAGATGGCGCGAAAAATGGTCAGATCGTTCCATCGTTTCAGGAACTACTTGACTCCTTCTACCGTACATATCTATATAGCTATCTAGCTAGCTAGTTCGGTTTGTTTATATCTATTTATTTATTTCAGTTTGTTTATATCTATCTACGATTGTTCATACCAATACTTGACTCCTTCTACCATGCTATAGTTAGCTGTGGTGAACAATTACGTAGAAGCCATTCAGTCAGAGTGACTTGCATCTAAGTGCAAAGGAAAATAAGTTCCTTACCTCAATACAGGACACGTAGCAGCGGTATTTTGTTCCTTGAAAATCGCATGAATTTCCCCTTCCCACTTTAGATTATTCCAGAAGTGTATATTCTGTAACGGTGTCTTTTGTACAGCTTAGCGTTGTTCGACTAACAGCAATTCGCGTGCTGACTGGTCGGACTGGAAGACGCCATTTGACTGGTTAACTGATGATAAAGCGAAGAACGCTCATTGGTCAGTCGACTGTGGTGTTGGTATGATAAAAGAGGGCTTAAGCAGTGAGAAGCAGAGCGATTTTTACGTAGGTGACGTGTACGGGAAATCAAGAATGGCGGATTGAAAAAAGTAAAAGTATTTGGCGTTGTACAAGCGACGTCAGAGGAATAGAAGCCCATTTAACTGCCTTAGCTTAAACTCAAATGGAGTAATGTTGCCATATCTAGGCTGGAGCTGCTTTGATCCTCACTATACAGTCTTGATAGGAGTTAAAATCGTTTACGCAGTCTATTTTTTTTTTAATCATTTCACCCCAAGCAAGGCGATAAAGCCACTAGGACGCAAGGGGGTTACCGAATGTTAGGGAACATGAGAAAAATTACTAGTAAGGAGAGAAGACAATAACAAAAAAAAAAACCTGCAATATGAGCTCTGGTAAATACATAAAGGATAACAGCAAAAATTGCAATATGAGCATTGGTAAAAATAGTTGCTGGAGACATTAGGTTTATAATACCCAGAAATAATTAATGGATGTCAGTTATCAGTTATCTCCTGTTAATTCCCCTCTCCAAGTTCTCCATAGGGTATTGAACTCACACTCTTTTGGTTGTGTCAAAGTCTTTATCCACTGGGCCATGTGTCCTTGAGGACATCTGCGTATGAATTTCTGGTTATTATAAACCTAATGTCTTCAGCAAACATTTTTACCAGTGCTCATATTGAAAATTTATCGTTTTTCTCTGGTACTCCTTAATACTGGTTCCTATTTTGTATTCATTTCTATGCTTGGTCGGCTCAGGAGATTTTTGTGGCCCAGAATATGTGCTGATTCCTTAAGTTTACGAATTTTCTAATGATTTTCTTTGTCTATTATTTCAACCTGGTTATTATTATTATTATTATTATTTATGCGTTATGTTTTCTACTTTGTATCCTATAGATTTGGGGCCAAATTATGGTCCTTAGGCCCTATAGGGCACTTTCATCATATTTTATTATTTTATTTCCATTATTATTATTACTATTATTATTGTTTGTGCATGTTATGTTTCCTGCTTTGTCTCCAGGGTCTGAACTACGGTCCTTGGTCCTAATAGAATTGTCATTTAATTGATAGCACTTTTCTTAGTATATGAGATGTTCCTAGTAGGGTGATTTTCTGGGCAACTTGTATGTTGATGTTACCTGGGACACTCTTAGTAAAATTGTCCATTCTTTTTCTCACGAGCCCCAGTGCTCCGATTACTATTGGTACAGTCTCAGTCTTCATTACCCCACATCCTGTTAATCTTGATCTCAAAGTCTTTTGTATTTGGACAATTTCTCGATATTTTTCATGCAGTTGTTTCTTTCAGATTTTACTGTTATGTCAATAAACATACACGTCCTGAATTATTTGTCTTTTATGATAATATCAGGTCTGTTGTCTTTTATTTCTCTGTCAGTTTGAATTGGCATGTCCCAGAGGAAAGTTACATTGTTATTTTGGGTAGCTATGTCTGGTCGTGCTCATACTATCCCACATTGGTTTCGATTTTGTGTTTCTTGCATATCTTCCAGTGTACATATATCGCTACCTTGTTATGTTTGTGGGTATATTCATTTTTTAATAGTTCCGGATATCCTGGGAGAATAAAGTCGACAGTTTCATCATATTTTCCGCAGATCCTGGATTTCGGGTTAGTTCCATCCTTGATTATGTGAGAGTGATAGAACCTGGCTATGACGCTTTGGTCCTGAGCTGCAATAATTAGGCCTTCTGTCTCAGTTTTCAGCCCGGTGCTCTTCAGCCACTGATGTGTTTTCTGTTGGTCCACATCTACTACTTTCGTTCTTTTTATGCATTTGCCATACAACGCCTTGTCCTTCCAGTTCTGTTGTAATTTCATTTGGCCATCATTTGTTTTGCTTTCTGTTTTATTCATATGGCGTAGATGGTATTCATTTCGTTTTTTGTTGGTAGGATTTCAGATATATTAAGCTGTTTATTGACGAGTGCCCCTTCTTTGTTGATGTAGGGAATTTGGTGTTTTACTATTTGTAGGATAGGGTCATTTTTTACGAGTTATGCTACCAATCTGATTCTTGTAGTTTTAGAGTTAGTACAAGTTGGATTAGACCTCGGCTTCTTGAAGCCCTTGGTACCTACACCCTATCAACGTCTGATTTCGGGTGGTGCATCCTCATGTGGGTAAGCATTTTTCGACTTCTGTCGTATTATCATCATCATCATCATAATAATAATTATTATTATAGAAATATTAAAAGGAAAGAGTTTTAGAAACTGTTAATAATAATAATAATAATTATTATTATTATTAAAGGAAGAGTTAAAGTATTTTAAAACAGTTGAAAGGTGTCTCAAACAATGCTTATTAATTTTTCTCATTTAAAAAAAAGGAGAGAAAAAGATCCTTGTAAACAGGAGTACCAATGCACGAACTGTTCAACACACGAACACCTTGCTTATCGAATAAAAAGTTCACCTAAACTGAAATTTAACCAACGATCGGCGAGTAGACTACGCATGCGTATAAATAGTTGCGAACGTCTCTAATATTCACTTCGTGTCATAAGCTATCAGTCTAGTTGGCAAAATTTCATGTTTTATATTGAAAATATTTTTTAGATAACATGTCGCTTCAAGTTGCATGAGATCATGTCTCTTTAGAGATTCGTTTTCTTTATAGTCAGTTGATTATGATTACTTTTTCGTGAATATAGCGGAATGGTTTTGAATTTAGATTGATTCGTTTTTTACGGTTTATCAACATTTTGTAGCTATTTAAAGCCAGAAATTTTCAGCTTCATACGAGTGTAAAGATACAGGAGGCGCTTATATCCCTTTGTTGGAGATCAGTTACATCAGTCACATGACGGCCGCTTAATGACGTCACTTCATAAAGCGACGAAAGCGCCTGTCATTTTTCAATTCGTTTACAGCAACCAAACGGCAAGGTTGCTTCCTTTAGCTCGGGCCTCTCATGGCCCGGGCAGAAGTTAAATCTGTCTCCCCAGCAACTTAGGAGTCAATGGTGCCGATTCCATTTGGGAATATATCTTTCACAGATGCAGAACGAAACTCCAGCTCACAGTCCTCAATTTGAGAAAATGTAAGACACCCAGTTTCCCGTTTGTGGAATATGTCCTCGACTGGGACATAGATGAATCGGGTCCGTTTAAATCTGGTGTTTCTCCAGGTCAGGAGTATTTCCATATTATATGTAAGATCCTTCTTTTTTATTTCTCCTTATAGTCTGCTTTGCGGTGTAGATATATGTGATATATTAATCTCCGTGTATATATATATATATATATATATATATATATATATATATATATATATATATATATATATATTAGTTTTGTGTATGTCTTAGTAATATAACATCATCTCTGAGAACAAAGCATGTTTGCCATTATTTTTCCTTTCAGCCATTCCGTTCCATCCTGTCCTATGCTATTGTATCAATAATGCCCTTAACGGGGTAAATGTAAATGGGAGAATAAATCTTTCTTCCAGGAGCTCTCATTACACAAGTCTTACTAATTAACCTATAGCTGGTGGAGAAGAGGTGGATTCGTACCTAATCAGAATTTGATAAAAAAACAAAACAAGAAATTATAATGTAGATATAAATTGGCGATCAATTCTATATTTCAGCCATAAAGTATAAACTGATGCCTCACTTTGTAGCCTCGGTACTTTGTATGAATTTATATTCCAGAGTATGTAAATCAAACAAAAAGACATGTCTGTATAGCTAATCAGTATTTGATTGATTCATTTTCTACGGTTTATTAAACTTTTGTAGCTTATATAAAACCAGAAAATATTTTTAGATTGTAAGAACTTTTTTGAGATAATAATGGTTTAGTGATGCAATTTTTATTAATTATCCCATAGCTGGGGGAAGAAGAGGTGGATTCATACTTTACCCAATGGTGTTGGCGAATAAGTGAACATAATGAACCCAACAGGAATTGGAACTCGGTTTCCCGATTAAAAATTCCGAGCCATAATTCATTACATCAACCGCACATCTAAGCTTACAGCATGTGGTATTCTCCAACGGTCACCCATAT